CTGCCAAAGGGCCTTATCTGGGCTGAAACTGTGCCACCACACAGCTGCACTAGACAGTGGCCACTTTGAGAAATAAACAATGATACTGAGATCTACTCACCCTGTCTCCTCCCTGCTCTCCAGAGCGGTGCCAGCACCAGGCGCCAGGACACACACAAGGGTGCGACACTGTCCAGCACCGACTGGTGAAACCAGCCACCTCCCTGGGCAGGGGAGGCCAGGACACTGCTGTCCAAGGGCTCTGGGCTGTCACCAAGACCAAAATATCTCTCAAACCATGCAGAGCAAAACCGTTGATGGAGTCTCACTCATCTGAATAACACTGGGATGTGACACTCCTCTGGAGGGCTTATCAGTGGAACTTTTTTATCTTCCACTGCTGCTTATCAGGTAGTAAGTGAATGAGATATCACAGAAAACATGCAGGTTATATTGCCTGCCCCGACTACAGAGCTGACCCTAAGGGTTTTGGATTTGTTAAGACTGTCACAGGGCTTAATGAGTTGCATGCTGTGCCTGTGGCAAGAACTGGTAAGAGAAGACAGGCCACACAGCAGCAGGAAGACCATGGTGCCTCCCAAATAAAACAAGTGTTGAGTGTTCTTTAGAGTCTTTAGCAATGCCTGCTTACCACTCCTGCCATTTGTATCAGCAATTAGACAACATATATAGTATTCTTTCAGAAAACTTGACAAAGCTGAAATGCTTTCATTTTTTATGAGCAAAACAAAAGATTTAAAAGTTTCAGGAAAGCAGTGCTTCAAAATTATCAAGTCAGCAACGTCTGCTAACACAGTCCAATGACTTGAACAAAATGGCAGACTTTGTTATTTGCAGAAAGCTCTGCAGCTTACAGGCAGTCTAAATGGAAAACAAGGACATTGTCATATACACTTGTCAGCTGACAGAAAGTAAGTTTGATTCTAGTGCAAGTATTACTTATGAGCTTAATTAGATACTGCTACTTCCAAACAACCAGGGGAATGTTAAAAAACAAACACGCGCCCATTTGACACACCTTTACAAGGATGCTGCTTTTTATTTAAAAGTGCCTACATTTCAGTGCACTGTGAAGTAGCTCAACGTGTCACTAAATTGGTGGAGTACTCAGTGATACTTGAACTAATAAGATACAGAAGGATCTTAGTATTTAAAATAGAAAAAAATCTTTACATTAAAAAAATCCAGTCAAAGTAAGAAACAAAATCCAGGCTCAGGCAACTATTCCCATTTCCCCTTCACCCACTGATGAATAATGAGTCATGATTTTTTAATCCTTATGGATACCAATCTTCAATTTTACTGCATTAAAAAGAAAAGATTAATCTGAGAGGCTGCTGCTCTGTAAAGCAAAAGCCCTCCCAAAAATTAGTTGATGATGCTATTATTTAGCCCACTATAACACAAAAGTAGCAGGACTAAGCATTTTGCTTTCTCTATAAAGTTTGTTACTGTTTATGTACTGACTATTTCATTGTTTTTCCTGTGCACAGAGAGAACTAATGCACTGCTCTTTGCATGGTTCTTCCCTGTAAGAAGACAGAAAAATATGCTTTTTCTAGTGCTAAACTGAGACTGTAAAAAGCATAGGGAACATCTGATTTGAGAGCTCAATTATCATATTTCTAATTAAACAGTTAATTTGGTGATCTTCTATTCTCTCTGACTTCCTAGGGCATGTTCAGGACACATCTTACATTTTTTTCCCCAAATCCAAGGACTAAATACTTTCCCCAATAAAAACACATGATGAAAAACCACAAAGACAAGATTCTTAGAAAACACCATTATTCTAGCTTCATAAAAAAAACCTGATATTGCCAGAAAGGCAATTACATTCTGAAATTCTGTAAGGTTAACTTTGGTTGCTAGCAGGTTTTGGACAGTGAGCTGGCTACTGCCATCAAGGAGCAGCATGCACTGGAAGTCCTCTACTACTAGTCTGGCAATAAGGTAAACTTCAAGAAATTAATCTAATTGACTAGACTACAAAGGCTGGGAATTTTAAAGGACAAAGTAAGATGAACTTTCAAACATAAACACTTAAGATGATGGCAAGATGTCAGCCAAAGAAAAGAAAAAAAAAAAAAAGTGATATGACAGCCACTTCTCCTGTGCCTCAGCCATGAGGTTCTTCGTATTCATCTGCCTCCTCAAGAACAGTCTGAACACTGGCAAAGGAGATTGACTTTAATTAAGCCAGCTCTTTGGCATCTTTCCTTTCTTGCTTATTATTCCATTCCCACATGGCTGTTTGCATCAACCCATAACAGATTAAAGAATAATTAACAAATGGTTATGCCCAGTAGCAGAGGATGGGGCTGCAGTGGGGATACTGACACAGCTCCTCACAGACAGAGGCTGGCTAACAGGCTCACCTCCCACCTCTCTAGGATCCATCAAAGCAAGCACAAAACTCAGCCCCTCCAGCTCTCATGTCCTGTTTTTGAAAACCCAAGCCAGAACTGGAAAAGAATGTCCTCCATCAGGTTACAACTCTCCAGCACTGCATATTAAAGGATCCTTCCTATAATATTGCCAGCTGACAAAACCACACAGAATGTTTTCTACACTACAAAAACCAAAATAACACTGTAAAACAAGTCACTACACACCTCCCAGCCTGAAGAAACTAAATCTTGACTTCCAAGTGAGCTGTATATTTGGAGAACAACTGCTTACCTGTGTACTCTTCGACTGTCTCTCCTGTTTCAGGTGACTGTGTGACCTCTGTTGGCCCCGTAGCCATGATATAGTCACTGAAATAGAGATGAAAGCATCAGTTAAATTTTAGTTCACTTTCCCAGAACAATATGGTCCTACCCAGCGTGAAAAACACACCTAGATCCTTTCTGACATTGCCTATGAAATGCTTATCACAAACATGGCTTGCACACTTTTTTGCACTTCAGCCACAGAGCTTCTCATTTTTCAGTAATACTTATTTCTCCAGACAAAACTAACCACTCTAATTTGTTGCCACTATCTCTTTCTTGTTAGGAAAACGAGGATCAAAGTTTGAAAGAATGAATGAAAGATGTTGTGAAACTTGCTCAGCAAAGACTGTAATGCTTCCCAGTCTCAGGGTGATGAACCTTTACGATTGCTCTTTGCTAGAGAGTGACAGCTCCATGTACTCTGAAAAACATCTTAGTAAGGGCTCTGGTGCCGAGGATCCATGTATTACAGCCTCCACACAGCAGGCACCAGGCTAGTCTGTCAGCATTATTAAAATTAGTTAAGCATCAGCACTGAAGCATCATTCCAGCCTGTACTACATTTGTGGAAACCAATAGATCAAATTTATTTTGGATCCAGTGCAATTAGCTTTTAGCCACAAGCTTTGAAACCTTATCGCAAGCAGGGCTATTGATCAAGCTATTTTGCTGATGGCATCATCTTCCTCCCTGATGAAAACAAAAGTTCAGCCTAGTTTTAAGATCATTCAATGTTAACTGGCTCTACTTTGTATTTTCCAAGACTTCTAAATGGGTGTCTGTCAGAGACAAAGGAATTAAGCAGCAGTTCACAAGAGTTACAGTACAAATGTCAAACGACAATGGAAACGTGACAGTTTAGCTGGGTAGCTCATAAATAGTGTCCTTTGTTATGGAAGATATCTAGGTGATACATTTACATGGTTAGCAGTTCCAACACACCCTGTCAGGTCTCGAAGAGTAAAAAATCTTTACAAACATGCAAAAATACCCAGAAAAAAATCCTGCTCCCTTTTCTGCACAGACTTCATCTAACAACCTCGAAGTGGTATAACATTACTGCCAAGTTAATTATCTCTACATCAAGCAAGATTATGATTCTATAATAATTTGGACCCACTAATCTATTTTTTCTGTATCACCCCACATTCTATAGTCTGTCATGCACAAAAGCACTTGGACATTCCTATGAGCCCAGATAACTTTAAAAGATAAGGTGCACAAAATCAGAGGCAGAGGAGATGGGACTGTAAAAAGACAGACCATCAAAGTAAAACAGGCAAGGCTCTTTGTGAAAAAGGGACCACAGAGTAAGCTTTCTTTGTACTGTCCACACAGGTTTTCAAACTGCTGTGCTGCTAAACTGTAGGCAGAAATGGAGGAGACCAGACAGAATGCAGTTTTCTTCCCTTTTAAAACAGCTCATTGGTGAGCAGTGAACACAGGAGTGCATTAACACACTGACATTCCAAATAATCTCATTTAACTTCCTAAAAATCTATGAAAATTATATCCTTTCCAAATGAGATGCACTGAGGGTGTTTTTGAAACAATCATTAAATTATATTGAGAAGCAACAAAAATAAGACTTTCAAGATTGTCCCTTTTGGTTTATCATAAACATTCCACTGTTCTTAATTTTTTCCCCATATCTCATCAATTATCCATGAAAATGTCTGCATTTCCCACATATTTTGATTAAAGTGGTCATCAGCAGACTTTCTCACACTCTGTCTTAAAAAGAAATTCAGTTTCAATTTTCCCCTTCAACTTTATACAAGATGCATATCAATTATGTTACATTTTTCTTGACGGAAAAGAAAAAGCATTTGAAATAAAACATTTAAGGAAGCATTCAACAAATTTACAAGGAGAAACTGGCAAGTCTCCAGACTTGAGCTTATTTTCACAGAATGTGAGTGGGCCTGTCACTTGGCTCATTTAGACTTCTAACTTCTGCTTTGCCCTCCTTCAGTAAAATCAAAGAAAGAGAAATCACTGCTTTCAGATCCAGCTTTGTTTTAAGTGGCTCTACATTTATTTAAATTACTCAATCATCTCAGCTGCTCAGTCAAAATCCTTCCAGCCTTTGGAGATATTTTGACTGCTGTGTCTGTTACAACTGCAAGCATTTATTTCCAGTTGGTATATCTTTTATACCAGTAGAACAGTAATTGGAAAGCACTTCAGCTCTGAGGCAATTTCTTCACAGTCAGATCAGCTCCTGCATTAATTCAGTTTTATAACTCAGTTCTCTGGGGCATATGGAGGCCAAGTATCAACTGCAAGGGTGCATCAGTTGATTGCAAATGTGCCCCATTTAGGACCTAATGGTTTGGTGCCCTATCATCTTTTTCCAGTGAACTGAACACTGACTTGAGGTGAGGGAAACCATTGCAGATTTTTCCAAGGTTTAAGTTAGCAACACTTTAAATGCCAAGAAAAAAGATAATATTTACAGCAAAGTGTAAATTCTGTCATTAAAACTCAGTGACACACCTGAAAGAAAGTTAGATTACACTTAGACTTCAAATTCTGGTAGCAGTGAGTTGTACTTTACAGAGACAGCCAGCAAATGTTCTGAGCAACAAACCCTTGCCTGAGGTTCAATGTAGTGGAGAGAGGACAAAACCCCATCAAAACAAATACATGTGAGTGCACAGGCATTAACTGATCGAACCTTCAGACATTCAGCACTTCCAAGCCTTGATGAGAGGAGACTGATGCAGTGTCAGGATGTATCAATGCCATGTATGCTCAGTTCAATCAGCTGTACCATCCACGTGAGCTTTTCCAGAGCATCAGGCTGTTAGAGACAAAGTTTTAAACAAATACTGTATGCAGATTGATTTTTAGTGATAAAAATATCAGGTTAAATAAATGGCCTTTTGAAGCAGGATTTCTGATACTCTCCAGGCTAGGAGATGCTAGAGGACAGCTGGGAGAAGGAGCTCACAGAGGGATGACAGAGACTGTCCTCAGTGGGGAACAGCCAAGGCAGAGAGTGACAGACTGACAGCTCTGGCTGGCCAAGGTAGCAGAGCTGTCAAGTCCCAGCTACTGTTTCCTTCCTACTACAAGTGGAACAGTGGGTCACATTTCCCCACCCTACAACTTTCTAACAATATTTTTAATCCTCTCTCAAACAGCGTTTGCAGTCCCTGCATGTGCACAGGCCTCCTGCTGCAGAGGTACAGTACAAACAAGATGCTAAGTCTCTGCTAGAAAACCTTTCAAGCCAGGCCTGACCCTGCCTACTAAGTCCACTGCAGCAATTCCTGTGTAAGGCCATGGAAGAAGCTGAAAGTTTATTGAGAGCAGCGAGGATGTTCACCTCTCCTTGCACAGGGTGATGGGCTGGATTATTACACCTATGAATTAATTAATTACTTGGAAACAGTGAAGTGGCCTCCTATACAAATGCAATCACAATAAACCTGACATTACTAGACCCTATTTACATTGCCAGGGTGTATTTTAAAGCAATAAAATTCTTACAAAATTGCAGTGCTTTCTTTAATTTCAAAGCAGCCAATGGGACCTAGTTAGCAATCATCAAAACCCTCACCTGGCTTGCTGGTTTAGATCTAGGCTCCCTGCTATCCCATACAAAACTTCCATTAATTACCCTACTGTGTTGCATTCTCTTGGGGCTCTTCAATTCATTGAAACAACTAATGAGTCTTAAAAGAAATCTCCGGGAACAGGAGAAATATCCTTGTGTCCATTTTACAAACTGGGACAACTGGACAGATATTTGGAGTGCTCTATGGGAGATCAGTGATAGGGCAAAAGAAATTAAGCCCCAGGATGGTGTTTTGACCATTCTCCCTTCTCAGCTGAGTACATCACTGAATATGTACATCAGATGGGGGGCAGAATGCTAAAAGAAGAAAAGATAATTCCCTTTCACTGACTGGTTTGTGTATTTAAGGACTCCTGGGAAGTTAGCATTGTACAGGACTCAAATTTCCTGCATTTAACAAAGGCTCAAGACAAAGAGAAACACTTTCTGCTCAGCCTCAGGAAAGGAACAGAGCCTCCTTGCTGTCTCTCCAGTGGAGCAGAATATTTGGAGACTCCACAGCAAGCAAGCAAGCAAGCAACACCCCACCTTTAGCATTTCTTCAGCTTCAGCCCCATGCTTCTGCATAAGCATTCCGGAAGGTCTTAGACAGAGAGATCAAAGGAGATGCTGAACCCTGAACAGCCTCTTCCCTACCAAATAAAAGCTTGAGGAAATAAAGACTCAAGAATATGAGGCACTGCATTCAGTTAGCATCTGCAGAGCCTATAGAAGACAGACAATGGCAGGCAGCCAAGAGAAAAGTGAAATATTTTTTCTATGGAGCTTTTAAAGACCAATTTCCTTCATGCTACAAAAATTATTTGAAATCAAGCTTATGTACCAAATTTCAGGACACACACTTAGCACAGCAAGATGGATCAGCATAGGAAAATACATGCCCCTCAGCTGGTCTTTTAGGTCCCCAACCTGCAGCCAGCCTCCCCCAGAACACAGTTCAAGCTACTGCAGCACCTTGGAGAAAGCCCCTCTTTTTATCAGGGGCATCAAGTTTCAAAAAAGCCACAAAATGCAGGATGGTTTAATATTCAATTACATTCCACAGCAAAAGGAGAGTGCCAGGTTAAATTCTTCCTGTGTCTTATTAAAGCACATTAGAGGACTTTGTTCTGACAAAATGTGGTCGATTGCTTTCCTCTCTGGGAACCCTACAAGCTCACTATTAATGAACGTGTTAATTCAACTACAGGAAGTGAAGTTCACCCTCTGCAACTCCACAGAACAGGATTTCAGAGTCAATCATAAAGCAACAGCAGAGCCAGCAAGACTTCTATTCAATTTCCACATCCCTTGAGCGTATCAGAAACTCAACAAACAAAGCACCCTTTGCTCTCTGTGCAGTGAACCAAGCAAGGTGCATGCTCAAGGAACATGCAGAATAGTGTGGGATCCCACAAACAACTGCTGAAACAGGTTATGACCCAAGATGACAGCAGGAACTGGGAT